TGGTCTCGAACTCCTGAGCCCAAACAATCCGCCCGCCTCGGCCTCCCAGAGTGCTAGGATTACAGGCGTGAGCCACCACGCCTGGCCAATACTTCATTTTTTTTAATGGCTGAATAAACCCATTTTATGGATATGCCACATTTTGTTTATCCATTCATCAGTTCATGGACATTTGGATTATTTCTGCTTTTAAACTTTTATGAGTAATGCTGTAAGCATTAATGTGTAAGTCTTTGTGTGAACATATATTTTCATTTCTTTTGGATAGATACCTAGGAATGGAATTCCTGGGACATATGGTAAATTTATGCATAACTTTAAAAGAAACTGACAAACTAAACAATTAAGTTTTATTTGAGAAGAAATACAAATTCATATAACAGAAAGAACTTTTTATATTAGATTGGCAAAAAGTAAGTAAAATGATAATGCCTGGTGCTGATGAGTATAGAGAAACAGGCATTTCCATATACTGTTGGAAATGTGCATTGTTGCATTTTGGCAGTATATATTACTTTTGAAATGTGCGGGCCCTTCAATTTAGCAGGCCTACTTCTGTGGTGAGTTGAGAGTTTTATAATAAAGAGTTAATAAATAAATTAAATAGTAAATCAGGAGTTGGTAAACCAGGAGCTGCCTAAAATTATAACTACATAGTTAAAATGTTACACTGAAAAAATAGTCTTTTGTCTAATAACTGCCATCTACTTCTGTAACCCTACTTACAACTTACTTTAAAAATTATAATCTGCCTTCGGGCGCCAGAGATCTATGAGGACAACTATGCCCTATAACCTTATATCTTACAACCCAGACTTCACTCCCCACTTTTGTTCCCTGAACACTTACACTGTGTCACATAGCCTCCCTCAAAAATAGTATAAAACCCTCATAAAAACTTAAAATGGTGCCATCCTCTCATACTCCTTTTATACGGGCAAAAATAGTCACTGGCCAGCTAATAAAAACTCTCAATTTGACTTCATTAAATTCTCCTATGGTCTATTCACACCCTCCACACTACAACACTTCTGGGAATTTATCCTGTAGAAATAGTTGACATTCTCACGTTGATCTAAGTATTGCACTGTCATCTTAGCTTTTTTAATAAGAGTAAATTGAAAATACCTTCAGGGTCCATGAGTAGGAGACTGGTTATATAAATGGTGACTTAAATCTTTTTTTTATCTCTTTCATCATTAGTTTTCCTTCTCTTTGGCATCATACCCATCAGCACACAAGTATGCCTTTTCTCCCATCTTAAAGAAAACCACTTTCACCCCCACCCCCAATTACTGCCTTATTTCTCTGACCCTCTACTGAAAAATTCCTCAAAAGAATGGTCTATCTACTGTAGCGATAGTCTTGAATGCCTTTGTTTCTATTCTTGAACCAGTTCAAGAAAGCTTTAGCCTCTCCACTCCACCTCAACTGCCCTTGTAAACATCACATTTGCAAATTCAGTGGTCAGTTTTCAGGCCCATCTTACTTGGCTTCTATAGTAATATTCACCACTCCTCCTCAGTCTTCTTTATTCCTCCTTTTTTGTTTCTTCTGTGTGTCAATGCCACCAACTACAGATGAAAGGAAGTAGAGCAGTAGGAATGATGCTGCGGGTCTGCTAAGTTGGGTCTGCTTTTTCTGGACTTCTTTTGGCACTGACATCTACCTCCCCTCAGCATTACACATGTCCATATCCTTTGCATTAAGAAAGATGGAGCTTATTCTTTAAGATAAGTGAATTGCCTCTGAAGTAGGTTGGGGGAAAGAAAAGAAGAAATGAACACACAAGAAACTGGAAGCATCATAGAATTTAGATGATGGCAGGAGAAAGAATGCAAATTGAAAATGTTTCCATATCTGCCCGCTACTTCTCTCTATAAGATAACTAAGATAAAAGCTTTCTGGGGGAGGTAGCATAGGGTGGTGATTAAGGTCAAACCTAAGGTCAAATCTCAAAACCTCAGCTGTAGCGCTACATGTGGAACCTTGGCCAAGTCATGTAGCCACTCCAAACTTTAGTTCCTCATCTGTAAAATTGGGATGCTATTAGTACCTACTAGATTAATAATCATGGAGTAAAATCTTTATGTCTGCAGTTTCTCTTCTAATGGGCTCCCTTTGCTTTGTTTATATAGTGGAGAGTATCTTACTCAGGAGCTGATCTGTCTCCCCAGCCTCCCTTTTTATACCAATAATTGACCTTTTCACAACCTGTAGGCTTCTTCTGATGATCAGTGAGAGGCTGGAACAGAGCTGGCACACCCCCATGCAGCGGTGCAATCTGTAAGGGTAAAGGCCAGATAGCAGATATTTAAAGCTATAAATCCCTTTCCCAGTAATGTGTTTTATATTTTTCTCAAGTATTTCCTATGGTATAATGCATAGAAGGAATTTTAAATATTATCTTTAGGTATCTTTATTTAATCTTTATTATAATGCAAGAAAAGTGCATAGCACTTAGTGTTCAGCTTAATAGATTTTTTACAAATGGAATATAATCATGTAACAACCACCTAGATCAAGGTAGAGAATGTGAAGCCTCTTTTGTGGCCCTTCCGGTTATTCTTCCCCTAAAAGGTTATCATTATACTAAGTTATATTTTGGTAGATTTAATTTTGCCTGTATTTGAACGTCATATAAATTGAATCATATACCTGTTTTCTTTTGTGTATGGCTTTTTTTCACTCAACTTTATGTCTGTGAGATTGATCTGTGTTGTGTTTAGCAGTAGTTCATTCTTTTTCATTGCTGAATAGCATTCCATTATATAATTTATCCTTTCTACTGGTGATGTTAGGTTGCCCCCCGGTTTTTGCTCTATGAATAGTGCTGCTGTGAACATTCTCATAAATGTCTTTGGTACACACGTACGCATATGCACATTTCTGAGTGGAATTGCTGAGTCATAGCTGTGCATATATTCAGCTTCGGTAGGTATTTTCATAGATAATACCAAACCAAGGCAAAAGTCCTAAATAAAGTATTAGGAAACAGAATCCAATAATACACACACACACACACACACACACAGAGACACACACAAGATAATACTTTCCAACCAAGTTGAGCAACAAGATGGTTTAATATTTAAAAATCAATCTATGTAATTCATACATCATCAGAATAAAGGAGAAAAATCATATCAGTAATCTCAGTATAACCATCTCAGTAGATAAAGAATAGAGATACGCTCCTCTATAACAGTACATTTATCATACTCAAGAAATGTAACATTAATATAAAACTATGATCTAATAAACAATGTATATTCAGATTTCCCCAATTGTTCCATTGATGTCCTAGCTGTTTTTGTTTTGTCTTTTTCATCTGGGTTCCTATCCAGCATCAAACATAGCATTTATCATGTATTATTAAATATTAATATATCACAATCATTATATAGCACACATATCAAAAAATGTATAATAAAACTTGTTATTTTAAGGTGAAAACCCTTCTAACCCGATCTCATGAAGGAGGGTAGACTCTTGCCATACCCTCCCAGAAGTTTTCCCACGTGCTCCTTCTCAAACACAACTCCTTCCCTTCTGAGAGGCGCTCCTCCTGATTTTTAAGATAATCATTGTATTTATAGTTTAGTTTTACCTGTTTTTCAATATGGTTTTAATATTTTAACAGTATAATTTTAATTGTTGATATCTAATTATATTAATAATATTTTAATAGTATGTTAATATGATACAGTCTCATCTATATATTTTTCCATCATCATTTTTGTTTTTCCTTTTGTTTTTGTGTCCTTAGTGCATAACACAAGAAGCATATAATATCTATTTGTGTCATTATTGATACTAACTTTTCGTTATTTGAATTACTCCATTAAATAAAAGTTATTTGCCAGGTTTTTTTTTTTTTTTTTTTGGTATTTCTCCCTTTGTACGTTACTATTTTCTCCTTTGTGATAGGTACTTTGAGACTATGTAAATATACTCTTTCTCATCAAACTTTGATCCTAGTTTGGCAATCATTGATGATTCTTACCCTAAATCATTTTTATTATAATGTTTGACAAATGCTAAGTTTCTAGCTCCATCATTCTATCTATAGTTAATGATTGGAATTCTACTAGAAGGAAGGCTTTTCATTTTTCTTTTTTTGTGTATTTCAGTATTTTATATATTTTAATTTTATTCTATATAGTATATATTCTGTTACTATCATTATTTATTGCATTGCATGAATTGTCCCAGTTTAGGTCAGTGGGTTACCCTTCAGACTGGTGCCAGAGTCCTTTTGACATGTCTCTGAGCACTTTCTTACTTTCTGGAACAAGATGTTTCAACTTACCATGTATTTTTCTAGTCCCAGACCTGGAATTGGCCATTTCCTTAAGGAGACTTGGTTGTTTTTAGTGGGTAATGGTATTCAAAAGCAAAGACCTTGGTGCTAGTTTTTTCTTTACATTTACCGTGTATGAGGTTTGTAGAGCTTTTTGAATTCATGGCTTAATGTTTCCTGTGAGCTTTGAAAAATCCTTGGCCATTACCTCTTTATACGTTGCTTCTGCTACATTCTATCTCCTGTTCTTCTAGGACTCCAGTTACTCATGTTAGACCTTTCACTATGTATCATATGTCTCTTAAACACACTTTAGTACTTTCTATCCTTTTTTTCTTTCAGTGCTTTAATTCTATTGATCTATAATCCTTTTTTTCTGCTGTGTTTAACCTTGTATTAAACCTATTTATTAAAATTTTCAATGTAAGTTCTGAGGTTTTTCAGTTCTAGGATTTCCACTTGACTTTTTTAAAAAAATAAATTGCACTTGTCTGGTGAAATTCTTGATATCATCTGTGTTTTTAAAACATAGTAATCATAATTATTTTAAAATCTGTGTCTGATTAAGTCTAGTATCTGGATCACCTGTCTATCTATTTCTCTAGTTTCTCCCCCCCACCATCCTACAGAACATTTTTTAAAAATGTTGGACGGTAATTTGATAATCTGTAAGGTTATAAAAGCAATATTCTTAGATTCCCTGAAATAACAATTATTTGATCTGTTTACATCAATGTATTGCTAAGTTGTATTGTAACAACCCCTAATTTTCAGTGGTTTACAACAGAACGGGCTCATTTCTTTCTCATGTCACATTTTTGTTTCTGAATGACTGCTTGGTTATTATGTTCCTTGTGTCTTATTCATTCTGGGATCCAGGCTGAAGGAGAAGCCCCTATCAGGGATGTATTGACCTAATGACCAAAGTTAAAGATAAGTATGAATGATGTAATGGCTTTTAAAAGTCTCGTCAATTGAGGGTCATATCATTCCTGCTCACTGTCTCTTGGCCAGAGCAAGTCATATAACCAAGCCCACAGTGAAGAGGGTGCAGAAGAGTGTGTACTAATTCCACAGGGAGGCATTAAAAGTTACATGTCAAGGGTAGGAATGTATAATCCTTTTTCAGGGAGAGAAGAGTAAATAATTTGAAACAATAATAGAATTTATCCCACTATTCTAAATGAAAAACTCTCAATTTTGAAAAAGCTGTATATGCATGAAGGTGTGAACACAAAATTATTAATAATGATAAATTATAAACAGTAGTAAGGACCTTTATGGTATATTCAGTGAAATGTTAAACAGCTATTAAAATGATCATTGTAATATAGGTTGAGTATCCTTAATCTGAAAATCCAAAATACTCCAAAATTTGAAACATTTTGAGAGCCAACATGACGCTCAAAGGAAATGCTCATTGGAAAATTTCAGATTTTGGATTTTTGTATTAGGGATGTTCAACAAGTATAATGCAAATATTCCAAAATCTGAAAAATATCCAAGATCTAAAACATTTCAGGTCCCAAGTATTTCAGAAAAGGTGTACTCAAGCTGTATCTAGCAATATAGGAAAATGCATTTAATATGATGTTAAGTGAAAGCTATGAACAAAGTATATGTACCCCTTGAGTATAGCTATATACACACAATCGTATATTAGTAACAAAATTGAAGCTATAAAGTTGATAATAGTTATTTTAGGATGATAGGAATGATTTTTCATCTTTAGACTTAAACTTGTGCTGTTATTTTATAATTTAAAATAATTTTATAAAAGTTATTTTTTATTCTAAAAGTCATACACATACATATCAGAGCAATGTTGGAAAATACAGAAAAAAGGATTGAAAGGTAAATTCTGGAAATATCTCCTAAACCATCACTGTTACTATTTTCAGTGTGTTAAAAAAATTAATATGTTTAAAAAATGACCAGATTAACCTTGTACTGTCTTGTCACATTTCATTTCAGGTCCTGAAAATCCTTGGTTGGTTCAAGCTTATGTTTCAGCAGCTAAACACCCTTTTGCTTCTGTGGTGGCTCAGGAGGTTTTTCAGAGTGGAATCATTCCTTCAGATACTGACTTCCGTATCTATAGGGATTTTGGGAACATTCCAGGTATTTTGTCAATGGTTATGGGTTATTGTGCAACATTAATTCATCAAAAGCAAGTTTTACTTCTTAAAAGTTTATGAGTCAACAGCATTTTCTGAGAGCAAATTCTTTATGGGAGAGCTACACATTCTGACTCACTGAAACAGAGTTTCTAATGCTTTCCTTTTTTAAACTCCATAGTAATTTAAATGCTTGCCTCCTCTAGAAAATGTTGTCTTGCCCCACAATGTGACAGAAGAACAGGGAGAACTGTTTAGCACTTCATTCCCAAAAGATGGTAATAGATCCTTCAGGGTCTTTGACTTTCGTCGTTGTTTTGCTTTGCCAGCTCCCTTGGTGACTTGACTTGTACTTACAGCTTATTTGAAGTTAAAATTTGTCTCTGGCATGGCAAGGATGTAGATGACAAAGTTTTGATGACCTCCCAAACTCAATATTCCTACGCCTTGCTGTTGTGACTTGTAATGCCTCCCTGTGGAGTAGTATACTTCTGCAATCATTATGTATTGAATTATGTACCATAGCTATAGATTCTATAAGAATTTTGAAGATAATTTATGTCATTCATTCATAAGTGTGACAAAGCAATCATGCCACTGCTTTGATATTTTGTCATAGGAATTTAATACATTAAACAAATGGGCCTAAAGCAAGGTTGATCTTTAAAGCAAAATGACTTTTTTTTTTTGTCTGTTGTAGGAATAGACTTAGCTTTTATTGAGAATGGATACATTTATCACACCAAGTATGACACAGCGGACAGAATTCTAACAGATTCCATTCAGAGAGCAGGTTGGTATTCTAATTTAGACTTTTGATATGTAGTAAGATGAACTATTAGGGATGATATATAAACCTATAAATACTCTGTGGCCTCTGCATTAGAGAGGCAGTATGCAGTGTGAATGAGCTAGGGCTTTGGAGTTGGAGAGGTGAAGTCTTGAATTTTAGTCTTGCAGTCTAGTTTAGTAATTTAAGATAGGAATATTAATTGTGAGGAAATGAAAAGGGAGCGACCCAGAGTTATGGTAGGATTGCTGAGTGATAAGAATGTAGCCAAAGTGAAAGCTTACAACTTGGAGGTGGCACCGGGACACATGTTTGGGCAGGTTGCCTGGATATAGAAAACAGTAACATTGATCTACGGTTGGGTGGTAAGGGCAGGTGAGAGGGTTATAGGACTGGCGTCAGAGGAGGGCATAGGGGCAAGTGAGTTAAAGTGCTTTCTAGGGAGATTTGAAGTAGTCAGAGATGATGAGTCTAATACTGAGCCTTAAGGAATTGGTAAGACTTGGCCTGTGGAGAAAAGAGGACATTCCAAGTAAGCATGGCATGAGCAGGGTGTGTTTATGTGTGGGAGGCTGTTGGTGAGTAGACTGTCAGACTAGAATGGAAGTAGTATTTTCAGAAACAGAAATGAGGTAGAAGTGTATGGGGTAGAGAAAATTGTAGAATGCTTTAAAAATCAGCAAGAAGATGCTGTAGTGAGGGGAATCATTGAAGGCTTCAGTCCATGAATGAACTCATTAAGATGGTTTTCTGTGCTTTCATCTGGTGATGTGGTACGGAGCAGATGGTGAGGGGGAGAGCCAGGAGTCAGGGTCATTCGGACAGTAATTTAAGTGTGGAAAAATGAGGACCTGGACTGTGGTGTTGACAAAAGATAGAAACAAAAGGGGGAGGGATGGAAAATTAGACACATTTTGAATGTAAATTTTAGAAGACTTGACAGGTTGGATAGAAGGGATGGATCAGATGGGTGGCAGCAAAAATGATGGCAAAGTGTGAAACCTAGCTGGCTGGGGAAAGACGATGCCATTGACCATGATGGGGAGGAGGGAAGGCGACCCTCATCCAGTGACAGTGGAGAGGGGAGGGAGACCAGGAGTTCTGCCAGACATGTAAGGCAGAGGAGTCCGTAAACCAACCTGATGAAAACAGATATAGTGTTAGAGCTCTTGGCAGACCTGGGTATTTGGTCATAGAGAAAACAACACAAATATGGAGAATGGAAATTTTTTGGGAAGAGTGAGGCAAGGATAGAGGACTAAGATTGAGCTTTGGGGGGAAAAAAAAAAAGAAAGTGTGGGATAAGTAGCAAGAAGAAACACAAGTCATTCAGGGCTTCTTACGGCTCTTGCATTAAAGTTTAAACTCATTCATTCCTTCATTGATGTAACAGATATTTATTATAGACCTTTGATGTGCCAGATTTTGCCTGTTAAGGCTCTTCCTGCTTCTCTAGCTTCATTGCTGAATACTCTCCTCATTCAGGACTTTTTTCTATATTTGGAACTTTTCCTTTCAGGGCCTTCATCTCCACAGTTCTCTCAGTCTGGACAATCTCCCCCATTGTATCTCACTCCTATTCATCCTTTAGCTATAAATATCACTTCCTCAAGGATGCTTCCCTGACTTCCTAAAACTCCATTAGTTTCCCATAATATGTTCCTCTGAGATTCTGCTTTCTCTCCTTATTAATTTTTAACATATGTGTAACAGCTTTTTCAATATCTGTGAGCTTCATGAGAGGCCTTTGTCTCATGGTTCACTGCTGAGTTTCTGGTATCTAGAAGAGTGTTTGGTACAGTTAATATGTATTCAATAAAGGGGAACTAAGAAACAGCCATTGGGTTTGTCAACAGTGAAGGCACAATTAGAACTAATCATAGAGACTAGTTCTGCTAGAAGGTAAAGGACAAAGGCCAGTTGGCTGAGCTTCTAAGCTGAGAGGAAATGGGGCAGAGGGCATGGACTGGATTTGAGAAATTTAGTAAGAAAAGTGAGAGAAAGCAAAAGGATGGTAGAAAGTTATTTCTATGCACATTCTTTCTAGCTATTTCTTTATGCAAACAGCAGATGTTTTATTCTTTAAATAGTTATATATGTAAATCACAAATAGTTTATTCACTTTATCTTTTTTTTTTTTTTTTTTACTAATAGGTGATAACATATTAGCAGTTCTTAAATATCTAGCTACATCTGATATACTGGGTTCTTCTTCTAAGTATCAGCATGGCAACATGGTCTTCTTTGACGTGCTTGGCTTGTTTGTCATTGCCTACCCCTCTCGTATTGGCTCAATAATAAACTACATGGTGGTAATGGCTGTTGTTTTGTACCTGGGCAAAAAATTGTTGCAGTCCAAACATAAGAGTAAGTATTTTCCTGTAAAACTGCAAAGCAACTGGCACGGGTGTAGGATTTTCTTAAAGTGTTTTAGTTGGTTTGCTTATATCTTCCCAAGAAGTTAAAAATCTTAAGAAAATAATATTTGCTTAATATTTTAAGAAATTTCTAAATAAATATTAAATTAATATGTGCTTGTTATACTTTTGATCTTGGTGAAGCAGACAGTTTTTATGTATTTAGGCACTCCATAGAAGTAACACATGGAAGGTATTGAAAATGATTTGTAAAGATTGACTTTTAATGAAACATCCCATTAAAAAGTCTTGTCCATACTATAGACCAGTAGCCAGTGTTCTAAAGTATGAATGAACTGTTTCGATTCCTTCTATTTGAAATGTTTCTACTTGAAGTGTTTCATAGTCTAAGTTGTTATGTGCTATTACAAGATAAAATATTTGGCAGCAATTTAATCCTTTATCACCAGTTATTTTTCCCATGCTCCTTATTTTCCTATGTTAATTTCTTTTAGCAAGATCTTATATGGAACTTTGCCTTCCTTTCTTGCTAATATTTTGATATACAAAGCATCCCAAAGGTGATAAAGATTATGACTACCTTTTTCCCTAGAAAGGAATATATCTGTACTATTTCTAGAAGATCTTATCTCTTTGAGTCTTTGGTATCCATAGTCTCTCAATAAAAGCTACTTGAATATTATTCTTTGATACCTCCCCTCTTCTAGTGTTTAACAAAAGTTAACACTAGGACATTTCAGTTCTTTTCAATTATAACGGTGAATTTTTTGTTTTAACATTTGCCTGTTTAGCTCTCCTGACTGGTTATGTAATTGGTTTGATCAAGATGGTGATCTCAACTTTTTGTTTTCTCTTCATTAGCTGATAACTACACGAAGGACTTCTTGTGTGGACTTGGCATCACTCTGATTAGCTGGTTCACCAGCCTCGTTACCGTTCTCATTATAGCCGTGTTCATCTCTCTTATTGGACAGTCTCTCTCATGGTATAACCACTTTTATGTCTCCGTTTGTCTGTATGGAAGTGCAGCTGTAGCCAAAATAATATTTATACATACCCTTGCAAAAAGATTTTATTACATGGTAAGTGTTAGGTATATTTGTTGATTTCTTTTTGCTGCTTTTAAGAATTGAAAACAAACTCAAGTGGGATTCATTGTATTTGGCCTTTTGAGCTATCAAAAATTGTTCACCGTGGTTATAGAAAATGCTCCCACACTGTGTTAATTTTCTGGAAGCTTTCTTATTCTGATTGTTACAGAATCCAAATGAGGTCATAAACCTGGGCTGTTGGCAGGTGGTGGTGACAGCAAGGTTTGTTAGCACAGCCTTCTGTGTCTACTGAATTTGCTGCAGTTTTTATAAATATGCTCTTCTATCTCCCAGTCCTCCCTGGGCTCACTCAGTTATTTATGTTGTTTGAATGTCTCTATTCTCCACTGGAATGTATGCTTCTTGAGGGCAAGGATAATTTTATTCATTGCTATATCCTCTGTGCTTAGGCAGTATCTGACACATAGCACTAACACACAGTAAATATCTGTTGCCTAAAAGAATGCTGCACTTAAAATTTTCTCTTAGTTTTTCCCCCTCACTTTTTTTTCTTTTAACTATATGGTGATGCAGATTCTGATAGCATGCATGTATGGTATCGGGGTTAAAGACATCTTGCTAAGGAAAAAAGAGGGAAAGGAAATAGAATTCCAAATGATTTATAATGATTTTTAGAGAATACTGTCATAATGTTATGGTTTCAGATGTATAAATTTGGTAAAAATAAAATTAGAAATTAGGGCTATAAAATAATAGGACTAAAAATTGCAGTGAAAGAGAGAGTCATGGTTTCTAAGTGAATTAAAAAGGAAAATCTTTCTTAGCTCCCTTGTTTTCAAGATAGCCAGTGTAGACCTGCTTTTTAAAATTTGTCCTGATAGGGATTAGAATGGAGACCTGGAAGACCATAACCAGCATTCTTCCACAAGGATGTCTTCGGTATCTGAACTTTGGTCTCAGTTTCAGTTAATATTGGGATGTGGTCTGAGGAACCCTTCCATATTAGCAGGCCCTATTGAAGAAAGGTTCTTTGAGTTAGCCATCTGTTTATGGTTGAGCTTATACTTTTATCTTAGTGGCTTCAGTTTGTAAAAGAATAACACCATGGGGTTCAATTTCATGTGCTTGTTCTTAGTGCAAATGTATGTAAACAGAATGTGGCTGGCTGTTGTTGATTGGGGCAGGGGCAGGATAGAAATTCTTAGTAAAATTCCATTTACTTTCACTAATTTCAGTTGTCCAGTAATAACGCTTTGGGCTGAAAGCACAATGGAAAGAGTAATGTGTTTCATTTTCATTTCTTTAAACACCCAGTGGGCTTGGTACCATGCTAAGGCCTGGTGATACAGAGATTCATAAGAATGTGATCTTTCTCTGAGGAGCTCACCATTTCATTTGGTGAAATGTGGGAACAACAGTAATTTCAGTACACTGGGATGAAATGAGAGTGACATATACACAGTGCTGTAGGAATACAGGGGAAGGAGAGGGGAATTTTGCATGAAGTCAGGAAAGCTTCATGAAGGAGGTGGTGACATTTGAATGGGGTTTTTGGAGCGTAAGTTGAAGTTTACCAGATGGAGAACAGGTTGATGAACAGTCCAAGGTGGGACTGTGTAAAATGCATTTGCATCACAGTTAGTAAAAAGTCCAGTGTGGTGAAGACAAGGTGACAGCACAATAACTGGAAAAGTAGGCCAGGGTGAAGTTGGAGCATGACCCTTAAAATCAATGGGACCACCATTAAAATTTTCTGAGCAGGTTAGTGAGTGAGAGAACTTGTGATTTAGTAAGAAAACTGGTGACACTGTATAGAATGGAGTGGAATAGGGCAGGGGTGGGAGGGATAATAGAGATGAGGATGGGAATAGGTTTGAGGGGTGTTTGTTTTATCTTTGATATGGTTTGGGCACTTAAACGTATTTTCCGTTATTTCAGTTTTTATTGCTGAGATCTTTGTTTTTAAATACCTGAGTGGCATTCAGCTCCAAATTGAATCCCAAGAATTACATTCTTTGCAAAGACCAAGCCTCTCGATCCACACTGTGTTGAACATTTAAGTATTTAGCAACTATAGTCTATCTTTCATGATCCAAGGAGTGGAGGTTGTCAAATGAATTTTGACTTGTTTTGAAAACGTGCAACAGAAACTCTTTTGAGCTCTTGAAGTAGGGTCTGTTATAACAAACATCAGGACTACAAAATGGGGGAAACGCACACCACAAGACCAACTGGAGATAGAAGAGACTAAGGAAGATCATGCCAAATTCCATACAGCATCGCATTAAATGTCCTGCAGTTTTCCAGGTGTGCTATTGGTGGTGCTGCAGCAGTTTGTAATGTTCCTTCACAGGTCATTTTTGTAGTGTGCTTGAAACAGTCCTTGGAAGTTGCATAAACCGAAAAGCTTACAGAGGTGAATGGTTTTAGGAGACTCCTTTCTTCTATTTTGGAACATTTCCAAAAATTACTCATATTCGGGTGGAAGAAAAGCACAGATAAAGCACAAGTAATGGTATCACTTTTACTCCATCTTGTTAAATACTACCCTTTCCTGTGTAGCAATTTGAATTTGTTACTTCATGATAGGAGGTAGCTTTGTTAGTGTTTACTTTGTCAGTTTAAAGGGTAGACCCTGTTATAAACAAAATGTAGCTATCCTGGGGGATAGAAATTGTATTACGGTAAAAGGTCTTTATGAATGACCCATGAATGAGACTACTTGTATATTTTTCTTTCTTTCAGAATGCCAGTGACCAGTATCTGGGAGAAGTATTTTTTGACATCTCGCTATTTGTCCATTGTGGTTTTCTTGTAACTCTCACTTATCAAGGACTTTGCTCAGCATTTATTAGTGCTGTCTGGGTAGCATTTCCATTGCTCACAAAGCTTTGCGTGCACAAGGACTTTACGCTGCATGGTAGGGTATTTTTGATTTTGATACAAATGGGAAAATGCTTTAAAATACATAAGATAAGGCTTCTAGGGACTGTTTCTTTTTATTATCTTATTGAATAGGCTTTCTAAATTATTACTCTTTGTTTTTTAAAATTTTCATACCACACAGGTTGTGTTTTATACCCTACACCGCTTCCCATTCTTATGTTTATGAACACATGCTAATGTATTATTTGTGTGTTTTGTTTAATTCTTGTTTCGTATTTTATCTTCTCTGAGCGAAAGTGTCTTATTGCACTAGATAACATGTACCCTAAAAGGCAAGTTACATCTAACCTCATTTCTGTTAGGTGCCAAGGTACCTCAGTACTATACAAATCTGTATCTCTCTGTAGAATTCCATAGATGTGTGTTTTCTTTCTCTTTTTTCTTAGGTGCCCAAGGAAAATTTATTGCCTTTTACCTTTTGGGGATGTTTATTCCTTATCTTTATGCATTGTACCTCATCTGGGCTGTGTTTGAGATGTTTACCCCTATCCTCGGGAGAAGTGGTTCAGAAATCCCACCTGATGTTGTGCTGGCATCCATTCTGGCTGGTTGTACGATGATTCTCTCTTCCTATTTTGTAAGGAAAAACAAATTTTTAAAAAATTTTGTTTCTTTTTTCATCTTTATATGAATGTGTGATGAGTTTAGCCATACTAGAGTCTATGAAATAATCTAATTATTGAGAAAGTCTTAACCATATGGTGAATGGCTGTACATCTTGTGCATTTGTTATGGTAAGAAAATGTAGAATGGGATTGTTGTTGTGTTTTAAAAGTTTTGCCTCCCCATTCTCCCAGATCCTCTCATTATACCTCTTTTCAAATAGCCTTTCAAACTACCTGAATGTGAATTTGTAGAGTGTTTACCAAGTAAGAATTGTGAGAGAATGCCTGGTGTTGAACTTTCAGAGTGATTCCTAGTAGTGTGTTTTGAAATTGCTAATTAGAGGCAAGTGTAAATAATTACAAAGTAGTTTTATTAGTGCCGTTAGAGCTAGTGAAGGAAGACTAATTCTAATGAGGCTTTTTCATTGTCATTCCACTACCTCGTTGCTAGCACATCCAAGTTCATTGAGTCTGTCTGCTTGGGTGATGCATGCTTACGACATCCAAACATGCCTTCATTTACCAAGTAATGAAAGAGTATCATGGCCCATGTCAGCACCCATTTTGCTGTACCAGTGTCCTGTCCTTGTAGGGAGAGTTCTATTTTTGCTGTCTCTCCTCTTCCCTTGGGACTTGCCAGAGGGAAGAAAAGACAGTTACACAGAGTTTAAGACCAGACCCCCCACCTTTGGTAGATGAAGCTCCAGGCAGAGTTTTGATATTTGATGTCTACAACTCCAGGACTCAGGCTGGACCCCTCCAGAGAAGGCAGGTCTCTGTTTTGTGGCTCTTTAAATTCCTAAGAAGTACTTACTGAATACCCATAGGTACACCTTGGGTTTGAGGCTAGGGGACCAAATAGAAAAATGAGTTAATGACTTTATTATAATTCTTTTCTCCATGGAGATTGTAGTGAGCTTTTTCATATTGATATAGGGCATTTCTTTGGAAGTTAGGTTCTAAAAACAGCAGGTAAGAATAATACCACACACCTGGTCAGCATCATCCATGGAAGTCCCTTAAATAGCCAATAAAACTCTGTATAAGTGGCTTTATGTATATATAGCTCTGTAGAATAATTCTTGTGCACATTATTGTTTGAGATTGGCTGTACTAGTCCTAAAAGAAATCTGAGCATTCCAGTGATTTTACTTTTAAAATAATGTTTAAGTCCTTAATGGTACTTATAGGGATGGATGGAAAGTTCTAAAATGTTCTTTGTTGTCTACAGGGTTTCCTTCTTTTGGTTTTAATGTTAACCCTTATATCCTCCATGCTTGTTAATAGATAGGTTTGCTGTTGTGAGGATTAAAGGACATGGTGGAGTTCTGTCATCTGTAGATGAAGTTCTAATATAAAGTCAGCTAATTTATGAACTGAACCCTTCTCCCTAGTATATTTATTAGATTGCAGTCAATGAGTGGAAGCTATTGATGCCCACAAAAGATGACCCAAATGTGGGACATTTGAATTCTGTTCCATTGATCATATGGAAGGGGGCAAAATGAACCCTGGAAACTTTCACTGTGAATTCAAAATGTCCCCAAAGCACGGAAATTTTGGAAACCAGAAGAGAGAGAATTAAAGTGTACTATCTTCTAAATTATATTTTATTGGGAAAGCTTTTTTTTTTTTTTTTTAAGAGATGAGTTCTTGCTCTGTTGCCCAGACTGGAGTACAGCGGCGTGATCATAGCCCATTGCAGCCTTGAACTCCTGGGTTCAAGCCATCTTCCCACATCAACCTCCCAAGTAGCTGGGACTAGAGGCATGTACCCCCATGCCTGCCTAATTTTTAAGATTTTTGTAGAGACAGTGTCTCACTATGTTGCCCAGGCTGGTCTTGAATGCCTGAGCTTAAGCAACCCTCCCACTTCGGCCTCCCAAAGTGCAGGGATCACAGGCATGAGCCATAGCACACAGCCTGGAAAAGTTTTTGGAGAGAAGATTGCCTCTTGGAATACTTAAAAAAAAAAAAACTCATTTAATTTTCATTACAATGTGAAATAGTTCTGCTATACTTCTTGATGCCTTGGGTTATCGTTCTCTTGATCGTTTTCTTATTTATGTGTAGCAGTGATAATAACAGTGGTGTATTAATAGTGTGAGAAGGGCCGGGCGCGGTGGCTCACGCCTGTAATCCTAGCTCTCTGGGAGGCCGAGGCGGGCGGATTGTTTGAGCTCAGGAGTTCGAGACCAGGAGACCCCGTCTCTACTAAAAATAGAAAGAAATTAATCGGCCAACTAAAAATATATAGAAAAAAAAAATTAGCCGGGCATGGTGGCGCATGCCTGTAGTCTCAGCTACTCGGGAGGCTGAGGCAGTAGGATCACTTGAGCCCAGGAGTTTGAGGTTGCTGTGAGCTAGGCTGACGCCATGGCACTCACTCTAGCTAGGGCAACAGAGTGAGACTCTGTCTCAAAAAAAAAAAAAAAAAAATAGTGTGAGAATATTTTCTTTGGGCAATGGAGGACTGAACCACAGTGCATATTTCAGAGAGCTTTAATTTCCGTCCTTGGGGATTTATTAACTATATCTGCTAGAAAGCAATTAAGTTCTTGTCAAGTGATCAGTTAATAGGTGTCCTGGGGTTATTCTCTGCTGGGCCATAGTGGTTATACCTGTGTTGAGTGAACACGAGCTGAAATGAGACTGCTAATGTGAGTGGGATCAGGAGGAGGAGACTCGAGAGCTCAGAGTCTTCGGCACATATTGGACATTTCAGAGTCCCTTATTTTGCGTGCATTTCAGAATCTAGAGTGACGAAGGATGCAACATTTAAAACAAATAGAACTGTAAAGGTGATTAACAGTGGGATCCAAATACATTGTCACTTCATGGCTATTTCCTCCTCCTCTTCCTTCTTCATTCTGTGATTGCCATTTCACTTATTACCATTACCAAACCTCGTCTAGAAGACAGGAGGAAGAGGTAGAAGATGAGCCTTGTGATTTTGAGAAGAGGGAACGTGGATGTTGAAACTATACCTTAAAGTGAGGTTTTAGAACAACATTGGGTATTAGCTGGCTTGAGAATGGCAGGAACCACAGCATTATGACAGGGAGGGTTTTGTGTGTTTTTTGACCTAAAAGACTTTCTATACATAAACTTACCAGCCTTCCAGTGGAGGGGAGACTCATTACTTGGCAGGATATTTGAAATTGTTCTAAAGAGCCACATTTTAATATTGTGACTATTAGGAGAAAGAGGGGAAGACAGGTTGACAAATTGTGTTTTGCTAACTCACAGCCTTAAGTCCTCAGGTACTTTGTCTTATTTCTGTGCTCGCAGTGTACAAACATAAGATCTTTGGCCTAAGACCACTACTGTTTTGTTGGGATATTGGTGTTGCAGCGGAGTTGACTGGGAACAGACCGAGACGCACACAGAAATATGGCAAAACAGGTTTATATATGCTGGTGAGCTCAGAGGGGGATTTTTCCTCCCAAAATCTGAGCCCCAAATAAAGATCGTATCAGTCTTCTATACATTTTGCTTGGGGCACACTTAATGAGTGAGGAAGTGGGGCATAGTTACAATGAGGTCATTCTTTAGTGGGGGCAGGGTCTGGAGCAACCTTAGTTCCAGGTACAGAGTTCCTGTGGAATGTCTTCTGTCTTATCTCACCTGAGCAGGAGGTGTTGCAAGCGGCTTACAGCTGCTTAGGGAAGACAGTGGCGAGAGCCCTGGCAGTGGAATTTTCCACTACATTGGTACACTCTAGGTATGAAAATTCCTTAACTTTACATAGTAGAATAGATGGTAGGTTATGAATATTTGCTTAATTTTTCATTTTCATTTCAATAAAAATATTTTCACATTCATGTTCTTTACTTCTCTACTTACTGGCCCTAACTAAGGGTTGGACAATAAGGTAAAGAAGGCAAAGGGGGAAGCTGGGTTTAGATTATTGTTTCTCCAGGGTAGCTTCTTCAGACCCCCAAGGGATCTGTGAACATATTCTGTTAGTCATGTGTGTCCTTTACAGTTTTTAATTCAGTAATTTAATCACAATTAAAAAGCTGAGTACATTTTTAAGATTTTCTGTATGCCAACCTTGAGACCAAGCCATTCACTTTTACTGCCCAAGTTCAGATTTGTTGTTTTGATTGCATTGACATTGGTTAACTTATCACCTAAAGGGACAGTAGTACTCTGTAATGCAGTCTTTCCTCATACTCAGGTCCACAGGCAAAGTCTTGAAGGTGCATCTCAATGCTAGTTTAGATCAGTACTAGCTCAGATGAATTCAACACTTTGGCACAGCATAAAAATGTTATGGGTGGAATTTGAGTTCTGTTAGGGTAGATCTGCTGAAGCTTAAAAAGCTTATCTCTGGTTATTTGGTGAAAGCCTTGATGTCATAATGTTTGCTACACTGAAATGATGTCTGATGTGCAGTGTTTACTATCACAAGGCATTGACAGAGTAAGAAATAAAGTAATGGTTTGGCTAGTGATGGATCCACATCTCTATTCTCTTTGCTGATTGAACACAGGGACACTGTGCTCAATTTCCTTTTTCCCTGTTGCTTTCCGGCTGCCTGTCACAAGGCACCATCGTGGCACGTTGGAGGCATCTATCATTTTCTAGGCTCTGACTTGTAATGGAAGCCCCCGAGAATTAGTGCTTTGTTTTCTGGGTGTTGAAGTATGTTAGCACCTGCTGATAAATTTTCTTCATTGTCTGTTAGAGTAATACCTGTTAGAAAATAAAGTCAGTTAAAAACACCTTTCTCCCACCGGTATGAATTTGTAACTTTTCTATCTCTGTGTTTTGTGTTTTAGATTAACTTCATCTACCTTGCCAAAAGCACAAAGAAAACCATGCTAACTTTAACTTTGATGTGTACAATTACATTCCTCCTTGTTTGCAGTGGAACTTTTTTCCCATATAGCTCCAATCCTGCTAATCCAAAGCCAAAGAGAGTGTTTCTTCAGGTAAGAACAATTTTGCGAGAGTTATTTGAGATTCTGGAGAGAAAAAGCCTTGTGTATTTTGAGCTTCATAGTGCACAGGAAACTCAACTGACTTTTCTGCTGTTGACCTATTTAGTTGTACTCACCTTTTTTTGTGTATAAAGTAGTAAGGAAAAGATTGACCATTAAGAGGCATTTTTACCAGCTAGACATACTTCTCCCAAGAGATTGAATTGGAAATGTTTGCTTGTTGTTTTTATTACTGTTCAAATTATAAAATTGTAACTACTTGGAAAAACAAGAGCAAACATGTATCATGGAATAATGAGCTTTTTAGAAATACAAGTTGTAAAAATGTCTGCAGGCTGAGTAAAAATCTGAGCTATCAACTGGCAAAATAAAATAGGTATTTTGCTAGAAAAATTAATCCTAAGTAAACATTCAAAGTAATCGGTGATAATGAAAATATAATAATTTAAAAACAGATTAATAAAATGAGATTTAGAACTTTCTTTAGATTTCGGGTTTTTCTCCAAACGTTTTAGAGCTGGTACTATAAAGCAGTAAGCCTCATTTCCAGTTGTCTCTGTTGTGGAGGTTGTGGAGTGGCCAGACAGAAACGCCAAAGGAGAGGTCAGGCGCAGTGGCTCACACCTGTAATCCTAGCACTCTGGGAGGCTGAGGCGGGAGGATTACTTGAGCTCAGGAGTTGGAGACCAGCCTGAGAAAGAGGGAGACCCCGTCTCTACTAAAAATAGAAAAATTAGCTGGGCACAATGGTATGTGCCTGTAGTCCTGGCTACTTGGGAGGGCGAGGCAGGAGGATCACTTGAGCCCAGGAGTTTGAGGTTGCTGTGAGGTACGATGATGCCACTGTACTCTAGCCTGGGTGATAGAGTGAGACTCTGTCTCAAAAAAAAAAAAAAAAAAAAGCCAAAGGAGTTATAACCTAGATAATTATTCAAGGACTTGAAAAATTAAAAATACTTAGGAGATTTTGCAAAGGGGCCTAATATTCCTTGTTTATAGTCCTGAAAGACACAGTGTTAAATTTAATATAACAAATTTTACAGCTTATAAAAAACCTTTATTGAAGAACAGATAGTTTTTAGGAGGTTCAGTGTGTTTTCAGTGATACACTAATTTTTATAATAGTAGTATTTAGGAAAAACCAGATATTTATTTTTAAAAAGTCCTTTTCTGATTTGTTTTGGGGTTCTCTTCTTCCATTGTGCCAGAAGTTGGCAAACTTATCCTGTAAAGGGTAATATGACAAATATTTGTCAGATATACAGTCTCTCTTGTGGCCACTCTCTTTTACAGAGCAAAAGCAGCAGTAGACTATAGCTAAATGAATGAGTGTGGCTGTGTTGCAATAAAACTTTATTTCTAAAAACAGTCAGTGAGGAAATCTGCCAACCCCTGCCCTATGCAATCCTTCTTTCCTGTTCGATGCTCTTCAGGCTGGTTTCTGCTGTTAATAAAGCTATTCCAAATGGAGCATGATGTCTTTTCATAGACTTCTATTAGACACAAGTCTGTCATCTAGTGGTGAGCTGTGATTCCTGTTTTTCTCTGCACATGAATTAGTTTCAGTGTGACACACTGAAAGGGAAATGTGTTCGTATGTGCATATGTGCTTAGGATGTATTTGTTTTAAATCCTTATCTAAAAGAGCTCTAACATTTATGTCTTTAAAATATCAAATAGTAGATTTTCAAAAAATTTTATATGAAACTTAAATACATAAATATATTTGCAAGGTACAGTAAGCAGTCACCTTCCAGCTGAAGAGAAAGGATGCTAGCAATGCCTTAGAAACCCGGAGCGCCCCCTTTCTCTTGCTCCACTGCCACATCATTTCTTGGTATTGTCAAACTTACTCATTTTTGTAATTTGGGGTGGGAATGTAAGTGCACTAGTTGAAACAGTAGTTTTCTCATTAGTTTTGTTCTTTTCAGCATATGACTAGAACATTTCATGACGTGGAAGGAAACGTAGTTAAACAGGACTCTGGAATATGGATCAATGCGTTTGATTATACAGGAATGTCTCACATAACACCTCACATTCCTGAGATCAATGACAGCATCCGAGCTCACTGTGAGGAGAATGCACCCCTTTGTGGTTTCCCTTGGTATCTTCCAGTGCACTTTCTGATCAGGTTGGTTCATTACTTTTCTGCGTAAGTTGGGAGTTTTGTTTTCAAGTCCTATCACTGTATCGGTAGTCTATCATTTAAACTGTTATCCTTAACACATAAGTCAAGTGCCATTTTGACTATTTTTTCTATCATACAAAACTTCTGTTTCTTTAGTGGGATAAAGCACTTAGAAGAATGCTGGGCTGGGTGTGGTGGCTCACACCTATAATCCTAGCACTCTGGGAGGCCAAGGCAGGAGGATTGCTTGAGGCCAGGAGTTCGAGACTAGCCTGTCTCTATAAAATACAGAAAAAATTAGCCAGGCGCAGTGGCATGTGCCTATAGTCCCAGCTACTTGGGAGGCTGAGGCAGGAGGATCGCTTGAGCCCAAGAGTTTGAGGTTGCAGAGAGCAATAATGATGCCACTGTACTCTAGCCTGGGTGACAGAGCGAGACTATCTTAAAAAAAAAAAAAATACCACTTAGAGTAGTTTTGCTTCTTCAAATTTTTTTTTTTTTTTTTGAGACAGAGTCTCACTGTGTTGCCCCCGCTAGAGTGCCGTGGCGTCATCCTAGCTCACAGCAACCTCAAACTCCTGGGCTCAAGCGGTCCTCCTGCCTCAGCCTCCTGAGTAGCTGGGACTACAGGCATGCGCTACCGTGCCTGGCTAATTTTTTCTACATATATTTTTAGTTGTCCAATTAATTTCTTTGTATTTTTAGTAGAGACGGGGTCTCGCTCTTGCTCAGGCTGGTTTCGAATTCCTGAGCTCAAACAATCCGCCCAGCTCGGCCTCCCAGAGAGCTAGGATTACAGGCGTGAGCCACCGCGCCTGGCCCCTGCTTCTTCAAATTTAAAAAGTCTTTCCTCTAGAAAACTGAGTAGTTAGAATGGTGGCCCTCCTAACTAATATAAAAAATAGTAGTTAAGCATCAATCTCAAATTGTCTTATTTCTGGGAAGATTTTATGGTTTGGCAGTGAAGGAATGGATGAGAAGAAATAGGATGGGTAGTGGAATCAAGATCACCTAGGTAACTCCTTTGTTCTTAATGGGAAGGTTTTATTATACAGTAGCCTGAGAGCTTTAGAGGAGCTGGCATTGTTTATCATATCTATCAGAGTTTATTTTCATACCCCCAAATGTGTTCATATTTGCTGAATACATCCATGAGTTATAGATTGCTGTAAACTCATAAAGCAACCTAAAATATTGAAGCTATCTTTCCAAATAGGAAAAACTGGTATCTTCCTGCCCCAGAAGTTTCTCCAAGAAATCCTGCTCATTTCAGACTTATATCCAAAGAACAGACACCTTGGGATTCTACAAAGTTGACCTTTGAAGCAACAGGCAAGTCATATGACAATTTTTTCTTCTCTCCTTTACTTAAACTTTTTGTTAAGTGGCATGTATGTTGTTCCCTCAGATATATCACAGTGACCAGCAACTTGGGAAGAGCTTCTAGTATTTCTAAAACCAATTGAAGCCGGTTATGATCTCTTAACAAAAATTTAATAGGTTTTATTTTTTAGAGCAGTTACAGGTTTACGGAAAAATTGAGCAGAAAGTACAGAATTCCCATATCCTTTCATACCCCCACCCAGCTTCCCCTATTAACATCTTGCATTAGAATCGTACATTTGTTACAGCTAATGAGCCAATATTGATATATTACTATTAACTGAAGTCTGTAGTTTCATTAGGGTTCACTTTTTGTGTTGTATCATTCTATGTGTATTGAAAAATGCATGATGTCATGTGTTTACCATTACAGTATCATACAGAATAGATTCAGCACCCTAAAAACACTCTGTGCTCCACCTATTTATCCCTCCCTTCCTTCCTACTCCCGCTAGCAACCACTGATGTTCTCACTGTCTCCATGGCTTTGCCTTTTCCACATGTCATATAGCTGGAATCATATAGTATGTAGCTTTTCCAGTTGAGTTCTTTCACTTAGCAATATGCATGTAAGGATGCTCCATATCTTTTTGTGGCTTAATAGCTCATTTCTTTTTTTATAAGTTTTTTGGTCAACTTACTTGTTTTTTCTTTCCTTTTTTTTTTATTTTAATAGATTTAGGGGGTAGAAGTTGAATTCTGTTACATGCATGTATTGTATAGTGGGGAGGACTCGGTGTACCCATTATCTGAGTAGTGTACATTGTACTCCATAGGTAATTTTTCATCCCTCATTTCTTTTTATTACTGAATAATCCACTGTATAGATGTACACCACAGTTTTCTGTACCACAGTTATCCATATTATTTTAATAAAGCTGCTATAAACATTCCTGTGCAGGTTTTTGCGTATAGATAGAAGTGTCAATTCATTTGGATAAATACTTAGGAGCATAATTGCTGGATTTCACAGCAAGCCTATGTTTAGCTTAGTAAGAAACTGCCAAACTGTCTTCCAAAGTGGTTGTACCATTTTGATTCCCACTAGCAGCAAATGAGGGTTCTACATCTATTGTTCTACATCCTCACCAGCATTTGGTGCTATGCCAGTGTTTTGGGTTTATTCTAATAGGTGTGTAGTGATATCTCATTGTTTTAATTTGCAATTCCCTAATGACATAAGGTGTTGAGCATCTTTT